ATGAATGCGCCCAAAAGCATGGGTAGATTGACCACTAGTACGCATCGTAATGACTCAGGGTAGTATTGACGCATCACCTTGATCATAAACTTAACGGCACGCATGTCAACATTGGACAGACCGGCACCGGACACGTCCATCACAACCGTAAACCCTTTGTCACCTGCTAATTGGTCCAGCTTTTCAAACGTGGTTACTATTATTTCCTAAAACAAAAATAATTAAAATATAATTAGTAAGTAATACAAAAACTCAAATACACGAAGATATGCCAATGTACAATTTTGAGTTTATAAAATTATGTTGCTATTGAAATAGTTAAAATTATTAACAGTTTTTAATAAAATTGACATTATTATAACAAATTAAAATTAATATTAGTAATACCTTTAATCAGTATTATTTGTTAACAATTAACATGTGATTGTAAAATGTATAGATAATCAAAAAATAATTTCAAGTAAATATTTTTGATGCTATTTTAGAACCAATGTAAAATTTGTAAATTTTAGAATTATATCACTAAATATACATTTATAACTAATAACAGTTTCTAATAAATTTAAAATGATCGTAAAGAAAAGCATTAATGTGATCAAATATAGACATTGCAACTTATTAAATAAAACATTCAGATGATTACAACTAAATAAATCACCTAACCCTATCAAATGATACAATAATAGAAACAAATTTAATAAATAATAAATTAATATTATTATTAATGAAACAAGGTGTATTTAAAATAAAAAGGTTTTATTAAATATAACCATATAAGCCATGTGAAGATGTGTAGTAATTAAAGTATATTAATAATTAAATAGGTATATATGGTTACAGTTTCTAATAAATTAACATGTTTTTTGTAAATTGAAATCTGTATACTAATAATTACTATTTAAATCTAAACAAGTGTCTTGCGAGTTACATTGATTAATAAATAACATGCATACCTCAACAATTCGCTCTAACTCCGGTATCTTGACATGTGTGCGAACTCGCGTGTAGAGCACTGGACGGCCATCTCTATCCGCGGCAAATATAAACATAGCGCCACACCTGAACACCTCTACCCCACAGTGGCTAAAGTCCCGGTGAACGGGAAACTCCCGGCGCCATCGATACGCCTCCCGGAGCTGACTGTAGGCCTGTTTGGCGTTCATATCGTTGGCCATTAAAAACCGATGGATAGCGTAGTCATTGGTGCGGACAGTGTGTACATCGTTTGGATCGTATAGATCGCAGTCCCCCTCCCGGGCCGAGTCCAGGAACAGTTGCCGCACTTCTTTGATCAATTCCTGCGCTGTCGGGTCTGTGTCCGAGTGTTTTGGCGACACTATATGTTGGTTATCCGTGTTATGTATTATGGAAGCCATTGTAATGTATGAAGTTATAAGTTATAATATTTGTAAACTTATATTAAGTTTATTTTCACCACGTTTTATACTATAAATGACTTTTGGTTTGTTGGTTAGTATACGTTAATAATTGTGTTGATTATAACGAGTGATTCACTATTTATTTATACGTTAAGTAGTGTTGTTTTGACGCCCAGAGAGTGACTTCCGACGTGTGAAATATTTTTAGTTAAAAATATATTACATATTAAATGTGAAATCGTTTTTATACTCCTGTTTACGTCTTAAATACAAAGTTTAATGAATGTTATTATATAAACATAAGAAAATATATACATGTATATCTTTATAAGTGTTTTAAATACACTTTTAATTTTATATATTTAATTTCGATAGTTATAAGTATTCATGATATTTTATCTTATTTAAACTAATAATATACCAAGTTCATTGATTAAGCTTAATACTTTACCCCGATTGTGAAAAATTATTATACACCATTTAATATAAATATTCAAGTTGTAAAATAGCAAATTAGAAAATAATCTTTATAAATTACCAAAATAATCTTTTATATTGTATATATTATATTTATATTGTATATATTATATACAATATAACGTATAAGTTTATAATAAGTGTATATCCAACCTTTGCTTTATGAACTCACAATGTAATTTCAAAATCACTTATTCAGTATAACTTATACTTATAAACGTAACTATCATTTGATGTTTTTATATTTAAGTGAAGGATAAGTGTTTAGATAAAGTTAACAAATATAGTATTGATAGATATACTCATTCACCCCAACAAATAAATATATACAGTATTTCATGAACTGGGTGAACTTGGTAAATTTGGCCATTTAGTTCACACAAATCATTAGTTCACACAAATCATTATGAACTAAAAGTATGATTAATACAT